CATAAGTGAGGGTATTGGTGTATTGGTTCATCACTCTGTGATAACAGGTCCATCTGGGATCACAAAATGAGTTCCTGGGGGGTATGTCTTCACGAGTTGGAAGGACTGGGGTTGGAGAAGGAAACACAGAGTCCATGGAGGCCGAGCTCACATTAGAAGCAGAAGCAAGAGAGGAAAGCTATATCACCACATGTCCTCTCTGGGACGGATAGTGGAGGACTCCAGACTGGTGTGGAAAACATGAAATGTGAGGATTCAGGAAAGCTCAAGATGAGAGGATGCTGGACTGTGTGGGGATATCCCAGGGTACAAAGTATGGGCTAAAAGAGAACAGCTTTGACATGCTAATGAGCACCTGGATCTGAGAGGGTAAGGATGGGATGAAGAGTGGCAGAGTACCTTGGAAAAGCTGGTGGGCAGACACTGGGCTGGGAGGGGACCAGAGTCAGGGATCTGGGGCAAAGAGGGGTCTTGTAAGGATTTCCACACATGCACCTCCTGTGAGTCAGTGTTCATATATTGAAACTGAGACCCAGTTTATGAGAAAAGTGGTGAGTGGAGGGCCCTGGAGTTTCTGCACCTTCCCAATTGGATTACTAAGGGCCTTGCTGGTGGAGGAAGAATGGAAAAAGTGTGGTCAGTCAGTGGTGGTGACACATTGCGTCTGCATGCCTGTACAGTGGTGATGAAGCACTCCCGGCTGTACACATATCCCAACTCACCACATAGTGATCATGGCACATATACGAGTTCATTGTAACACACTTAGTTCTGTACCTCACTACCAATGGAGACATGCCACTGCATTGTTTCATACTGATGGGGACTCCCTGCTCCTTATGTCATCCCTCATCAAGAGCAACACTTAGACATACACCAAGACTCATAAATGATGACATGTCCACCAGAACATTTCAGTCTGGTATAGTCTATGTGCATGGCACCCTAAAGGTTAGCAGTCCAAGCCCATCCAGCGACACCATGGGAGAAAGTTCTGGAGACCTGCTGCCACATAAGATTACAGCCAAGAAAAGCCTATGAAGTAGTTCTACTTTGTAATGCATGAGGTTGCCATGAGTCCGAATAGACTTGATGGCCAAAGGAGTTTTTGTTTGTCTGTTTTGTGAGGTTTTTGTTTGTTTTTCCGTGCGGGAGTAGGTTGTGACAATGCACAACCTGCACAGCTATATGTGGTACTATTGCCTTACAACCAAACAACTGCACAATGCCATGGACATATGCTACTCTAACAATAACCCACCTAGCTCCACACCATCACATACTGATGATACACTCACATCGGAAGTGTTTTGCATCAGGAGTAACTACAACACACAGGGAGTCACACCTGTCCTACTGCACACTTACAATGACATGTAAACCCAGGTGTCCACATGAATGCTGCCACACTCACCCTCCTGGTCACATATCAGTGAACACACGTAAATGCACCATTGCACACTGATATGTTTGTCTTTCCAAAGTGTCATTCCTTGTTGAAGGCAACAGACCAGGACCCTCACATCACACCCCGACAGTGATACACACAAGCATTAGCATCCTGGACATTGTAGGTGACCAGAGCAAAGGCACTCAACAGATGAACAAAGTGGCCCAGAGCCCTTCTTCCTGTACCACCCCCACAATTCTGTTTCTGCTTCTGGCACTTGGCCACCCTCTCAAACCAAGACCAACTCTGCCCCTTCAGGCTCAAGCTAGAATGGCAGGATGTGCACTCCGGCTGTCTCCGAGCCCACTATTGTAATGCCCCAAATCAGGGTTGGTGCCCAGCCTCTGTTAAATGTTTCCTCTTCTCCAGCCTGGCACTCAGATTACCCTTTGAAGTGAGGTCATTGCAAAGAAGAAACAGTCTGGCCCTTGGACAAGTATCCTATACAGCTATTCTCACTCATCACTGCATTTATAGTCTATGACAGTTGTCATTCCTCACACATTGTTCCTCGAGCCTCACACAAAGCACTATCATTAGCTCTGCTGATTGGCTTCTTAGTGAACATTCAAGGCATGTATCATTTTAAAAATCTGTTCAAATCTAGCTCCCTCCCCCAACCCACAAGGCTCATAAACAGAAGTGGAGACTCGGCAGAACCACATCCATATTTTACCAGGTGATTCCTATAAGCTGTCTACAGAGCAGGCTCGGCAAGGACCTGAGGCTGGGCTTGTCTGAGCTCACACTTGCTCATGCTCACTAGCAGGGTGCTAGATTAGGGATGCAAGAGATGAAGGAAATGCTGACAGCCCACATGACATGAGGACCCCAATCTGGGTGTGAATTCATGGCAGTTTTTTTTGTTTTTTTTTTTCCTTTTAGTGAGAAACTGAAGAACAGGGAAGACTATAAATGTCAGTGTAAAAAAAACCCTACAGAGCAAAAGTCACATTTCCATAGGCTGTAGGATGTGTCAGAAGAGAAGCAGTCCAGCATGGCGAAAGGACCACAGAACACAGTGTTAAGGCAGCCCTGGATCTGCATGACTCACTTTCTTTGGGCCTCAACTCGCCCATCTTTGAAATAGGATTTCATGTGAACAAAATGAGAGAATGTACTTTCTATAAGTCATCCACATTAGCATCCTAGACATATTGAAGCTTGGCTGTTTGCTAGGATTTGTAGTATTCTGATCATCAGGAATTACCTAGAATATTTAGTAAGTTTTCTGCAGTGATATGCAATAATAGAATGTTAGAGAGCAATGTCTAGACTGGTAACACTGAAAAGGGAGCAACTACTCATTTCTTCATCAGCTTTCTTCTATGGGAAAAATCATGATTTGCCCTTAATCATCAAATAGGACAAAGTCACCTAAATTTGACCTAAGCTGTGTATCTCCTATTCACCAATAATATTTTCTGTAGCCAGACATGGTTTATGTCAGTCCATGCAATTTTGTATAGACTCATAGAAGTATAGGTTTAAAGAGGGCTTTAAATATCACCTGATTAGCCTCTTAGCCAACCTTCCAGGAAGGAAAACTCACAATCTCACCTGAGACAGTCCCTAGTATAGCTGGACAGCTCCAATTAGTATAAGGTTCTTTGTTGCACAAGGCTTATATCTGCCTTCCTTTACCTTTCCCCCAATGCCCTAATTCTGTCTTCAGCAATGGTAAAATGAACGGTACTCTTCTTTCCTTGAGATGATAATATTCATTCAACAAGCATTCCCTTGGCACTTACTTTGCCAGGCACCTTGCTAAGTGCTTGAATTACAAATTGAACATAATTTACCAGTCCTTCAAGAGCTAATGTCCTCTTAGTGTCCTTTCCTCCAGGTGAATATACCCAAATCCTTCAATATTCTCTCATTTGACCTGATTTTCATGTACCATCCCCAGCAGCTGTCCCACAGAACCAACCTCCTCTCTTCTAAACATGGCCGTGCTTGTCAAAGTCCACTTTAAAGTGTGGTGTCTAGACTGAGCTCAGTCTTTTTCTGAAGACAATGTTGGGTTTTTACCCCAACTTGGTCAATATCCACATCCAAAACAATGCCCGTTGTGGAAAGACCCCAATCATAACTACAGTGCTGCCAGCCAGGTCCCATTCATGGAGTCTCTGTTCTCAGAGAACAGGAAGAAAGGAGGGAGAGAAGAGGACAGTGGTTCTTGAAATGATAAGATGTAAAATCTCCCTGCCCAGAACTCCCCTCAGGCATTAGTGACAAGTCTAAATTACTAGATTCAAACAAACTCCCCTTACCCCTCCCTTTAGTGTCTTTCTTAGGAAAGGGAAGAAAAAAATTTTTAATGAGCTTGCTGATGGTCCAACACAGTGCTAAACAAAGACCTCAACCACAAATTAGGGGTCTTCATTGTACAAACTTCAAAAGGTGAGGAAGTGGGTCCACCAGGTGAGGAGGGCAGGACCACCAATGGCCTCAGACTTTTTTTTTTTTGGGGGGGGGGGTTGAAACCTTTGCTGTGACTATGTATAAAGGAATGGTCCCTTTTATTAGACCAAAAACCTACTCCCTCCCTTTCCCAGGTCCTGCCTTCTTGCTGTTCTTGCTGTTCCTTGGAAGAAAGCCACCCCCTTATAAAGCAGAAGTCATTTCCACTCTGACATAACCCTGACTGATGCATTAACTCCTGCAAATCTTTCAAAGACCTGGTGCAAGGCCCCTCCCCTCTGAAGTCATTTTCCTACACATCAGACTGGATTAAAGGAAGTATTTTAAAGCCAAAAGATGGCAGGCAGAATGGAGAGGCTCATTAGGAGGGAGAACAACAACAACAACAAAAATGAGTGTGAGAAGAGGAGGAAAACCTGGGGCTGGGGAGAAGTGTTGCCCTGCTTTTTGGAAATCCTTTGTACTCCCTGGTCATAGGAGGAAAATAAATGAATAAGGGATTCCTTATTCTTCATAAGATAGCAAATCTAGGACTGGTGAATGACTCCTCTAAGTTGTCACTGCAATTTAGCCGCACTTTTCTCCCTCTGGGTGCACAAGGGGAGGAGGGAAGAGGGGGAACTCTTGAACCCCTACAGAAGTCACATCTACATTGATCCTCAAAGTTTCTTGAGGGTCCACATGGTCAGACACCAAGCTGAGGGAATACAAAATATAAAGATGATCTGGCCATGATTCCTTGAAGGAAACAAGCAAACAGATGGAACAGGGGTCGCTGAAACAGGGGAGTATATAGGGGTGGTGGGAACCCAGACCAGTGTGTAACCTGGGGTAATCAAGACTTTCCTGAGGCGACCTTTGAGTTCTACTCTAAAGAACCTTTGTTCCATCCCCTGCTCTCCACTACCCCTCAGCAAGTTGAAGCAACAAGCTTGTGAACCTGGCAACTGTGGCCAGGAAGCCGTGGCTGCTGGGGGATTGCAGGGCATCTGAGAAGGCAGCATAGGAGGAGGAAGGGAGTGGTAAGAGAAAAGAGAGGGAGAATGGGGAAGGGAGGTGGGGGAAACGGAAAGGGAGAGGGCGGGAGGGAGAAAAGAGAGAGAGAGGGAGAGAGATTTGAATTTCCCATCTGGAAGGGGAGCAGTGGCACGTCAGGGCCCGGCAGAGGGGCGTGATTGGAGGGCGCCTTCGGCAGCCGCCCGCGGCAGGAGTCGCGGCCCCAGCTCGCCTGGCGGAGTTACACGAGGCGGCAGCAGGAGCTGGAGTCGCAGAAGGAACCGCCTCGCTGGGTCCGGCCGAAGCCGTGCAGTGGCTCAGACGGTTGCGGAGACCGCCAGGTCGGTGCTGGCCGCTGGCCGGGAAGGCGGAGCTGGGCTGTGGGCAACAGGGTCCGGGCTCTTGCCTAGAGGCCGCAGGGCAACCGGAGAGCTGAGGAGTCCGGCTTTCTGAAGGACAGCTCTCTAGGACTGCTAGGGCGCCCTAAGGGAAGACAGCGGCGGGATGCCTCCTGGGCGCACTCTCGTGGTGCTGAAAGGACAGCTCCTAGCAAGCTAAGGGAAAGGAGTGAGGAAAGGGAAATTGGAAAAGAACCGAGGGCCCCCCCATCCAGAGAGTCTAACGCAGACTGGAACAGTCGAGCTCCCGGGGAGTCAGGGCTGCCCCGATGGCGGCGAGAGACTCAAGTCTGAACCTAGAGAACAACTTCGAACTCGCGGGTGGGAGTGGGGGCAGCTGATGTACTTCTGGCCACTGTTAGCCCGAAGCCCTACAGGAACCTTTTGGCCCTAAGCAGGAAGCCGCCCTCCAGAGTTGCAGTTCGGGTTTGGGCTCTCCGAGTGAGTCGGAGGACGGCGGCTGGGATGCGAACAGACCAAAGGTGGAGGGGAGGAGAACCTAAAGCCTAGCGTTGGAGCCAGGGGTCAAAGAAGGGGGGGAGCTATTTGTCCTCCTCCCTTGAGACGTCTAGGTGTGGTACACAAGTGCGATGTATGGGGTCAGAAGGAATGTTCAGGTCATTCCACGCCGCCGGACCCTCTCTGCCTTCATCCCAGCAAAGTTTGAGACCCGGCCGGGTCTTGGGGTTGAAACCGTGTGATGGGTGAAGGGAGCTCTGAAAGGCCTGTAGGGAGCTCCAGGGCAAAACTGATGGGTGTTCTGGACTTCGTGGAGGACAGAGAGAGGGGCACCGCGTTCCTGCCCCTCTTCTGGCCAAGGAACGAAAAGACCCCACCACTTCAGCTTATATAGCACCTCCTCCACACACCTCCTTTCTCCTTCCCCTCCCCCAGTGTTTCTCCCTTCCAGGGGCAAGGGAAGGGGTTATTGGGATTGGGTAGAGGGACTTGCCCTGTCTCCGCCACCCGCATTGGGCTAGGGTCCTCTGCAAAAAGCAAATGAGTGTTGAATTGAGTTGTGGTGAATATAGCCCGGACTTGAACCATAAACACAGAAAAATAGGCACAAGGACAAACACTGCAGGTACTCAAGTTGGCTTGGCTGATGGCTGGGGCCCAGTTCCGAAGGCTGCCTGTGTAGTTGTCTCTGCTGCCTTCGAAAAGGGACGGGCTGGAAGGGAGTCAGGGAGGAGAAGCTGAAGACGCGCCTGAATCCGGGGCTCGCTGAAAGATCGAAACCTGGTGCTGCAGCATTAACCGTTCCCGCTCCTCCTCCTCCCCCCCATCCCCCTTGTTGTCTCCCTTCCCCCAGTCCAGTATCCCTCCCCCAACTCCCCTCATCAGCATCAGCACCACCACCACCCTTCCCGCGCTGGGATTCACAGAGGCTTCCTGTAGAACTGCCGAGGAGCTCCTCCTGGCGGCCTGGCCAAACCCTCAACGGCACGGAACCTGCGGAACCTCAACACTCCTACAGGCATATGGCAAAATATCTACACACAAGTCTGCACACACGCTCACGCAGATTTATATGAGGTTGGAGTTTAGAGTTGGATGCACAGGATCCAATTTTGAACGTGTACACTCACACACACTCACTGACACCCAGCACTAAAATTCAATCTGCCAAATATGTCCTGGGATCCACCATGTATCAGGAGAGGTAGTGGACTCTTGCAATAGGAGAAACGAACAAGCTGCAGGCGATGCCCTCAGGAGCTAAGAGGTGGAAGAGAAAGGCACATAGTTGGACAGAGAGTACACAGGCTGGAGGCAAGTAATATTGCCATAGAAAGTGTCTGGGTCTCCGAGGAGGAAGAAGACATAATAATGGAAATTTCAGGAATGGAGGGTTCTTAGAAAATGAATGCTGCTGCTGCTCACAAGAATGATGGTAACTAATATATATCCAGCACCTAAAGGGCCCTGGTGGAGCAACTGTCAAGTGTTCAACTGCAATCAGAAAGTGTAGTCATTCCAATTCAACTGCTCTGAAAGAAAAAGACCTGGCAATCTGCTCCAGTAAAGGTTACAAGCTATGAGGCAGTTCTACTGTCACGTGGGGTTGCTATGAGTTGGAATGGACTAGGTAGCAAACAACATCAAACACCTACTATGAGCCAAATGCTCTGGACTGAGCACTTTATTTGCATTACCTTACTCAATTCTCACAAAAAGCCTTGCTGTTCCCATTTTACAGATGAGAAAGAGTAAAGTCATTTGCAAAAGACCGCTTAGCTAGGATTTGAAGTGGCAGAGATAGGGTTAAAGGGTTCTAAGACTGTGAAGATAGTATAAACAGATGCCTAGGGGTGTTTGGCAAGAACATATGTTGGGGCTTATCTGAAGCAAAGCCACCACATGTAAATGCTGGGGGATGAATGACAAGACAGGAGAGTGCTAGACTGTGTAGGACTGAAGGTCAAAGCAAGGACTTGTCATTTAACAAGGCCATGAGAATCCATTGCAGGGTGTGCTTGCATGAACAGATCTACCCTTTAGGAAGATTAATCGGACAGTCATGCAGAGGATGGATGAGGGTTGGAGGAGGGGCAGAGTTTGAGGTTATGCACAAATCCAGTACCTCAAGGCCCTGGACCAAACATTAGTAGCAATAAAAGAGGAAGGGGTATAAGAAGTATTGTGAAAATACAATCTCCAGACTTCTCCCCCAGAACCTCCTTCTCAATTATAATTTGTCATTCCTTGTCTGCCTCTCCAATGGACTGAATGCTATGAGACGAGGTGCTGAAAATCCCTTGTTCTCTGTAACAGATACAGCACCCAGACAATATCCGGTACAGAGTAGGTGCTCAGAGTATATTTTCAGGATGAGTGAGTAAGTGAGTGAATGAATGAATGAATTTGTTGGGTCTGGAGTTGAGTTGAAACAGTTGGCCTTCAAGGCACACTGGTGGAAAAGATGTTTGTGAAGGAGGCAAGGTTGGCTCTGTGGAAAGATAGATTTGAGATGATCCATGTAGCAACACCCAGCAGCAAGTTTGAATGTGCAGACTTGCAGATTTAGATCATCTTCCCTGGAATTCCAGATATTAGAATTGCCAGATATAAAATATAAAATAAGTAGGTAAAATTGTTAGAGATGCATACTATTGAAAAAGAATGAAACATTGTCAAATATGATGAAGAAGATTTAGAAAGGATAAAAATAAAACTAATTTTAAAACAGAAATGTTTTAATGTGCAGGTTAGGTGAGAGATTTGTGGCTAATGAAGGGCATCGGCCCAATGCTGGTAAATGAAATTCTCAAGGGAGGCAGTGGAGGAGTCGGGGAGGGGGGGAGGTAGGTTATGGGGAGGTAGAGTAGAGATTGCATTGCGAACATGTTCACTTCAAGGGAAATGAATGGAGTCAGTAAAGAGGAAAGAGAAAACCTGTCTGAGAAGTATGTTCAAGACCACAAGAGTGCTGTGTTGTGGAATTCAAGAGGAGAAACAAGAAGAAGGCTGAAAAAGGGGGGCTGTCATCTGCAACATCTGCTGCTGCCAAGATAAGGAGAAAGAGAAGGGCTGTGGACACACTACAGGGTCTGGTGTTTATAAAATGACTCTGCTAGGACAGTTTCAGTGGCCAGGCAGAAGCAGTAGGCAGATCCCAAAGCAATAGTGCTTGGCTGAGACGGGAGGAACTAGAGAGCCCTCCATCACAAAGCTCAAGGATAGAGATTAAGAGAAAAGCAGGGTCCCTTGGAGGATGTAGCAAATGGAGGGTCTAAAAAGGACATGTAGAAAAGAAACTAAAGACATGAGGAAGACAGAATGATGAATGAATCAAGAAGGAAGTATAAGGAGAGATGGCAGATAGATTGACTGCCACTGGAAGGAAAGAAAGACTCTTCCTCATGAACTAGGAGAGGAGTTTGCAGGAGCTAGCATCAGTCTTTTTGATGATGATAATAACCACCATGTACTGAGTACCCATCATGTATACAATAATATATTCCACAGATTGATTCTATAGAATAAATTGTATACTTGTAGTGTTACAATCTTCACTTTATAAAGAAACTGGAGATTCAGAGAGGTTATGTAAATTACTTACCATCACACAGCTAAAAATGGCAGATTTGAGACCCAACTAAAGTGTGCTTGACCCCAGAACCCATACCCCTTCCACTGCACCATCTGAAGTGGTAGGGAAGCCACCTAGTGAAAGCAATGAGTTGAAGGAAGTTAGACCTTGAGAAATCAGGGACTGGTTAGGTATTCTGGACTGAGTAAATGGAAAGATTGCTTAGCAGTGGAGAGGACCATGATGCAATTGCACAATAGGCCTTTGGAGTGGACTCAAGAAGCATAGCTAAATAATCCCAACAGATTAAGCCTACCTGAATGAGAAGGATTTGAGCATCAAAAAGACTCAGCCCTTGAGTACTGGGGGTGGAAGAGTGGGGAGGAGGGGCCAGAATGAAATGAATATTTGTTGAATGAATACATGAACTCAGAAGAGTCTGGAAAAGAAATGGTTTGGTGACAGTTGAAAGGCACCAATGGGGCATCCAGAGGGAAGTGTCCAGGAGGAAGATGAATGTATTTATTGACTCACTTGTTACCTATTCCTCTACACATACATACACCAGAATGTAACCTGCATAAGGGCAGGATTTTGTCAGTCTTATTCACTGTTATATACCCAGTGCCTAACATATTGCCTGGCACATAGTAGGTGCTCAACTAATATTTGATGGATGGTGTTCAACTAATATTCAGGAGCTTTACTTTCCACCTGTACAAATGACATATAGACCTCTCTTTTGGGCTTCAGACTCATACTTGATGGATAAATGAATTCTGAATGAATGAACATAGGCATCTGAAGTCCAAAAGAGAGGTCTGGATGTCATCTGTACCGATTGTCACTAAAGCCTCTGAGATGGATGAGCTTCCCTAGGGAAAATCTAGCCAGGAAAAAGAGGCAGTGACAAGGATGGAGGTCAGAAGTCTGGGGAACAAGCTTATTTAAGAAAGAGGAGGAAAAGAAGAGCCAACAAAGGAAAGAGAAAGAAGAAAAAGAGCAAGGGGAGATAAGGGGTTATGGGAAGGGAAGGATTTAATCACGGAACCAAGGGTGGAGAGGGACTTAAGGATACATACAGTAGGGTAGCCAGCAGTTCAACTGCAGCAGGACTCCTCAAGCAGAAGCACTGAAGAGTCTAAAAGAACAGCTAGACCAGAGTTATCTAGCAAGCTAGGGATGGGGCTGGAATGAAAGCCCAGGTGTCCTGTGGACCAATTTGAAGCATTTCAAATTACAGTCTTAAGTCCTCTACCACCACCTGGAAATTCCTTGAGCTCCATGTAAACACAGAGTAGGAACCTAATAGTTCCTGAAATCATTTGATGCTTAAATTGTTCCTTTCCTGTTCTTAGAAATGCAGTCTTTTCACAATGTCTTCAATCAAATAACAACAACTGATTGGTGAGCTGAGCAACCTTCAAGCTTAGAATTCTGGGTCAGATTGAGTTCTTCTGCATTTCCTGGAAAGCCTTATTCCTTTTTGGATTGTCCTTATAAATATGCATTCAGTGATTGCTAACATTTTTTTGTTGCAAGTACACACCAGGCACTTGATCAATATCTTCTCTCCTCCTTCACACATCTATACAGGGTAGTCTTGACCTCCTCCACTGTACAGAGAACACACAGGTACTCACAGCCAGTAAGCATTGGAACAGGGTTTCAAACTAGATATGTCTGGTGCCAAAGCCGACAAGGCTTATTTTCTTTCTACTACCTAGCAGGTGGTCAGATTATGTTGTTGTTGTTGTTAGGTGCCATTGAGTCGATACCAACTCATAGCAACCTTATGCACAGCAGAACGAAACACTGCCCAATCCTGGGGCAACCTCACTACTGTTGCCACGCTGAGTCCATTGGCCAATCCATCTCCTTAGGGGTCTTCCTCTTTTCCTCTGACCCTCCACCTTACCAAACATGATATCCTTCTCCAGTGACTGGTTCCTCCTGACAATATGTCCAAAGTATGAGAGACGAAGTTTGGCCATCTTGGCTTCCAAGGAGCACTCTGACTGCACTTCTTCCAACACAGATCTGTTGGTTCATTTGGCAGCCCATGGCACTTTCAATATTCTCCTCCAACACCAGAACTGAAAAGGATCATGTAGAAGTCCACAAATAAGCTGTTGGGTGCCATAATAAGGAAAAATCTCAGTCTGCCAATGTATTTTCTCATTTTGAAAAAAATGAGGGAAATTCATCATCAATGAACAGCCATTGACCTTGAGCTCAACCTGGTTTTAATATCCCTCCACTATAACCATCAGAATAGTTCCATGTTTACATCGTTTGCATATTAAAGTCCTATTAAGATTTTCTTTGGAGAAATTCTATTAGGCAAAAAAAAAAAAAAATTAATAATAGTAAATTTTAAAAATCACTATAATAAAAATCAGTGATTTAGAGATAAAGCAAGGACGACTAACATTAGCAGGGCCTCTACAAAGCCTGTGCTAGGTATTTTGTATTTTCAAAGCCCCCCAAAAGAGATTAGAATGTCTCCAACGCCCCCATGTATAATTTTAAATTCAAATAAATATTAAGACATGAAACACAAAATTTGCATGTATGCTGCAATAAAAATAACTTATGTCTTCACTGGTTTAATTTCAGAAGTCTGGATCTGAAAACCAAAGCTGGATGTTCTGATTTTTTTTTAAAAAAACAGGTTTCTGACTCGCAGGTACCCTAAGTACATGGCCCAATGTCTGTCACAGACCCAGGCTGTAATTCTCTCCAATCTTCCTAGGACCCCTGGGAATAGAGACATTGCCTTTTCTGTTTCCTCATAGAGGAGGAAACTGAGGCTCAGGGTAGGGAAGTAACTTGCTGACTTGCAAATGAGTGAGGGTAGTGTTAGCACTCAGCTCTGCCTCTGGCTTCAAATTCCAGATGCTTACCAATACTCATTGGAACAATAGGGCTAAGATGAAGATTTTAAACCAGGCATCAGAAGCCATGTGATCAAACATAGGTGCCTGACACAGAACAAAAAGGCAAAACAAAACAAACTTATTGCCAGTTGATTCTGGCTCATGATAATTCCATGTGTTACAAGGTAAAACTGCATAATAGAGTTTTCCTGATTACCAGGGTTTTCTTCTGTGGTGCCACTGTGTGGGTTGGAACCACCAATCTTTTGCTTAGTTGTTGTTATTGTTGTTAAGGGCCGTTGAGTGGATTCCGACCCATAGCGACCCTGTATAGGGTTTCGGAGAAACAGGCTGTGAGCCTGAACCGCCGACCTTGCATATCAAACGGCTTTGCAGTCTGCCGCATTAACCCACAGCGCCACACCAGTAGGGAAGTACAAACACTTTGCACCACCCAGGAACCCCATAGCACATAGCAAGTGTTCTGCAAATAGCAATTTTCTTTCTCCTGGAGTCCTGACACCAGACTGATAACCCTCTGGTCCTGAACCACGCTGTCCGCCTAACTCCACTGCCTTGCCCGCCAAGAGGCTCCCCATCTGATCCCCAACTCCTCTTTTGCAGGTTGATACATCTCCCAGAGCCAAGCTTTCTGGGAGTGCTGCATGTGAATTCGGCCGTGGGCTAGAGCACTAACTAGAACCAGCAGCATGGACTTTGTCATGAAGCAGGCCCTCGGAGGTGAGGCCCACACGCCCCCAGTTCTTACCAGCGGGGCGGGGGCGGGGGAGGGATCTCAAGGCGTCCAGGACCTCCACCCCATCTCATCCTGAGCCTCTGACACTGAGCTGACCCTTCCCGGTTCCCTTCCACCTTACCCCTGTAGGGGCCACCAAGGACATGGGGAAGATGCTGGGGGGAGAGGAGGAGAAGGACCCGGATGCACAGAAGAAGGAAGAGGAACGGCAGGAGGCGCTACGACAGCAGGAGGAAGAGCGCAAGGCCAAGCATGCACGCATGGAGGCTGAACGTGAGAAGGTCCGGCAGCAGATCAGAGACAAGGTCAGCAGCAGGCAGAGGGAGCCGGCTTGAGGGGTAAAAAGCAAGCCCTCCCCAAGCCCCAGCCCGTGATTCCCTGAATTCCAGCTTTTGTTTTAAACTTATCGCCCTCTGAGCCTCATTCTTCCCATCAGAAAAATGGGCGTCACAGGAGCAGCTTCTTCGGAGGATTGTTGTTGTTGTTATTGTTAGTTGCCATCCAGTCAACTCTGGCTTTAGGTAACCATATGCGCTACAAAGTAAAATTGCTCCATAGGGTTTCCTTGGTTATAATCTTAATGGAAACAGACCACAAGGCCTTGGACTCAAGGGTGGCAACAGTAGTGAGGTTGGCCCAGGAGCGGGCCGTGTTTCGTTCTGCTGTGCATAAGGTCTCTATGAGTTGGTACTAACTCGATGGCACCTAACAACAACAACAATAACAACCACTAAGGGGGTGGTTTGAACCAGCAGTCCAGCCCAAATGAAAGGGTTCTTATGGGGATCAAATAAAGCATACTCTAAAACTAAAACCAAACCCATTGCTGTCCGTTCCAATCCCACTCACAATTACCTTAAGGTTTCCAAGACATTTGTATCTTTATGGGAGCTGACAGCCTCATCTTTCTCCCTCGAAGTAACTGGTGAATTTGAACCGCCAAACTTTTGGTTATCCCTAATCCACAGTGCACCTGGGAGTTCCTTATGCACTAGTTGTTGTTGTTGTTAAGTGCTATTGAGTCAGTTGCGACATATAGTGACTCTGTATAGGGTTTCCAAGGAGCAGCTGGTGAGTTTGAACTGCCCACTTTGCGGATCAAACCTATGTTGCAGCCCAGCGCATTAACCCATAGCTCCACACCTGTTTGCTGCCACGGGTCCACAGTCTCCTGCTGAAACCCTTGAGGCCCATGGGTTTGGAATTTGTAGTTAAAGAATTTAGACAAACACTAGACTGCATAGAACCTCTGTTACTGTTGCCTATCATTCCCAGTGGGCTGAGGTTCAGGCTGGGACTATACCCGGGGGCCAACCCTGTGTCTGATCCCAAACACTGCTAGAAGATATTCTCCCATCAGTTCAGGGCAGGTTTTGCCACTAAAATTTGCCTCCAAACATATGGGGAAACTTTCATGGGCAGATCTTTGGGGATTTTGAAATATCAGATCATGGGCGTTGAATATCATCATGGGCATTGGGCATATGTGAATTTTAGAGGAAACCCCAGGCACAGTAGCCTTCTTATTGACAAACAACAAGACACCATTCCAGAAGGAAGGCACCATTGTCCCCTTTTTATATATGAAGAAACTGAGGCTCAGGGAATTTTCACCGGTCTGCATGGCCCCATTCTCTGCTTTCCCTATTCATGCTGGGTCTCTCCCCTTCCCATCTCCAGTATGGACTGAAGAAGAAGGAGGAGAAAGAAGCTGAGGAGAAGGCGGCCCTGGAGCAGCCCTGTGAGGGGAGCCTGACCCGGCCCAAGAAGGCCATCCCAGCAGGCTGCGGGGACGAAGAGGAAGAGGAGGAAGAGAGCATTCTGGATACGGTGCTCAAATACCTGCCCGGGCCACTGCAGGACATGTTCAAGAAGTAACTGACCCTCCTGCCCCCATCCCCATTCCACTTGTTACTTTTTGGGGGGGTTCTTTCATTTTTTATTCAGTTCAGTCTCAGTTCTGAAGGGGAAAACCTCAGTTGGCCTCTGCCCCTCTTCCCTGGCCAGGGGCTCCTCCCCTCAGCACTCCCTCAAACCCTCTTCATCTCTAGATATCATGCCCCACCCAACTCCCAAGTAGCTTGAGAAAGAGAAGATGGCTTTTCCCTTGCAGAGGGTGCTGAACCCAGGCCTGAAGGCACTGGGGGGTGCCCTCAGGAGGCCCAGGGTCCTCGCTGGTGTGGTAACCCCAAATACATTCCTTCATGCTCCCCACTGCCAGGAGGACCATTGTCCCCAGCCAGCCAAAGTAATGACACATTCCAGCCCTGCCCAGCATGCTGGCCTTTGGCCTCTGGCCCTCAGTTGGCCTCTAGGTCAGGGTGGGGGCTCTGAGAAGTCTGGCCCTGAGGAAGGGAGTCAGAGTAAACCTGCCCCAGGAGGGCACAGCCGAATTCTGGCCAGGCCAGGGTCTGGGCAGGTGACTGCTCTTCTTCCCTCCCCCTGGAGGTACCCAGTGCAGGAACCTCCTCGGAGCCCCACCCAGAGAGGCACAGCCCCAGGCCAAACTAGTCCCTCCAAATGGATCCTCTTTGGACTTTAACTTACTGTGGAGGGGCCCCAGGGCAGGACATCCCTGCCACCTCCCCCCCAATCCCACCTAGATCCTGGGGCCCCACTGCCAGGCTGGGCCCAGCTTGCCCAGCCAAGGGGCTGACCAGGACCCCTAGAAAACACTCGGAGCCATTGGGCAGTAACAGCACACACCATGGGGACCCCCATTGGTGTGGCCAGGCTGCCCCCATTCCTATCCACTCCCCTCCCATACCATGTTTCGTCCATGTGCTTCCAGGGCCATAGGCCCCAGGAGGACCCTTCCTGGCCAAAGCCCCAAGCTCGGGTAGAAGCCAGTTCCCATCGACAGAAGTAACCTGTCCATCCATGTCACCGGCCAAGAACAAACTTTCCTCTGGGGTGTCTGTGATCTAGCTGACATCCTCCACCACCTCACAATCGTCAAGGCCTCCTGCTCATTCTATTGTGTAAGAACTAGGAGGACTGGAGCAAATGTGAGGAAGAGAGTGCACCCATGCATGCCTGAGACTATGTCAGCAATTGTGTGTAGCCAAAGATTCCGTGTGGGTGTGTATATACTAGAGAGCATGTCGAGATTATTCACCTTAGTGATCATATCTGTGTGTTGGAGATTGTGTGTGTGTGCAGGTTGGAGGTAGTGTGCACATGAGTTGAGAATGTAGTGTGCTAGGCATCCCATGTGTGTCAGAGCTTGCCTGTGTTAGCTCGTGTAGTGTGTATATATCAGGAGTGATAGGCATGTGTGTTTGAAGGAGCTGTCTGATGTGCTCAGGCTGTTACGTGCATGGGTGTGGGTCTGAAAAGGCAGTAGTATACAGGATATTGTTGAGAAGAAGGAACATGGATAAAGGCCCCTGCCCAGCCCTGAGACCATTTCTTCCAAATGGCCACATCCAAGAGGAGACTTTGTCCTTGGCCTGGAGTCCTCCCACCCTTGGAGGTTCCTGCCTGAGGTCCTTAGAAGCCCGATGGGACAGACCCAGGCAGTGCCTCAGGAAGCCATGCTGGGCCCCATCAGGGCCTATCCCAAAAGTAGGAGCCAGGGAGGGGGCGACTTGCCTGCTCCCAAAGCCCCTGCCCCACTGACCCCAGTTTGCATCCTGCAGGTTTTCCATTTTAGTGGATTTATGCTTTTCTTTCAGAGAGACAAGTGTCTTCTCTGTCCGTTTCCAATAGTTAAAGCCATATCAGTTAGATTGCAATACTTTAAAGACAAGACAAAACAATCCATATGTTTAGGGAACCAGAAAAGTCCCTGGTCTGTCCCTTCTCTGGGAGCAGGGCTTCAGTAGTTCTGGCTCCCTGGATTTTCCCGCCTCCCCCACCCCCTCCCCTGTGCCCCTGTGTCTGCCCTCCCATGGGGTCTGTGTCTGTGCTTATGTCTGTGATGGGGGAGTCACCTCCACCCCTGTTGTCTGCTTGTCTATTTGTGTCTTTTATGCTGGGTAGGATGGTCGTTCTGAAGCGCCCTACGGTCCTAGGGCAGAGATAGGCAGGGCCCAGACCAGGAGTCCCAGGCCTCCCCTCACTCTGTGCTCAGCTACCTGGAAACAGGGGTGAACCCCAAGTGTTTATGGAAGGTTCTTCTAAAGACCTCTAAGATGGCCCCAGGGCACAGAGGATATAGATGGGCAGCAGACACGGAGAATGGGGAGCTTAGATGAGCAAGTAACCCAGCCATACGAGGTATACAAGGTGTGCCTGAGGGACCCCAGGCCCTCAGAAGGCATCATCCCAGTGGTCTCCACAGCCCCACCAGGCCCCAGAGTAGGCTCGTGGCTTTTCATTGCCACTGCCACCACCTCGTGCTGACTGGCTTGTCTAGGAGTCTGACCCACTTCTCCAGACAGCCCCCCTCCTCCACCTGCTCCTGAGCAGCAGGTCTTGAGGTCTTATTGGAGGAGGCAGCAGGGAAAGAATGTCTACTGGAGCATACCTGGTTCCAACCACTGCCAGGTGATCACTCTCAAGTCTGGGGAGTCAAGATGGCTGCCATTCCAGATACAGGTCTGGGTGTGGCCCCAAGAGAATGTCTGTGCAGCATGTCAGAGGTCAACATGTGTGTGATGCTCTAGCAGGGAGGAAATATGCATGGATATGACCGAGGGGGCTGGAGATGCATGTGTCACACACAAATGGAGCAGTGTGTATGTGACACATTTGAGGGGGGGCAAAATTCAGTAAGCCCACACAAACTTACAGAGAGAGGTCCCCTGCTAGACCAATTGAAGGGCTAATCCTTTGCATGGGGGTGGGTGGAAACAGAATGAGCTGCAAGAGGGGAAGTGTGCCCCTCTTTTAATGTGTAGGTGTGGGGGTACCTGGGAGTTCACCTCCTGAGAGAACAAAAAAGGGCTACAGAAACCCACCTGAATCTGCCCATGAGGGGCGCTGGCTATGGACCAGGATTTCCAGGAGTGGGTATTCCTCCACCCAGCTCCAGAAGCTTCTAGAAGGTACCCTTAACTGCAAAGCTGTATGAGAGAGACTCCCCCAGGTGTGTGTGAGAGAGTCAGGTGAAAGGAGAGTCAGACAGACAGACAGAAACAAAAATAGAGACAGAAGTGTTTCTACCAGAACCATACCAGGTAGAACAGCTGGTGGACAAAAACAGCCACCCCCATGGCTGTGACTAGAGTAGGTGCGGTGAACTCCCCAACCCCTAGAGCCCATAGCAGCCAACTTGCCCATCTTTCTAGGGTCCCACAGGACTTAACTGCACAGGGAGGCTGGTGGGGAGAGGGTCACACTAACTCAGAGGAGGGAAGGTTTCCCAGGCCTGAGAATATGGCTCCCACCAAATGACCCACACAGCTCCTGTGAGCCCACCTTCTTCTAGGGCTGGGGAAAATGGGAGGTCTCTTGCTGGCCCTGGGTGGGGGTTCTAGTGAGCCCCCATGTGGAAGACCATCCTGCTCACGCAGGGGACTCCCTTTCCCACATTTGCTGTGTCCTCCTTGCTCTGCTTCCTTTAAATGTGTCAGTGCCTGGGGGGAGGGGAGGGGCACTCCCTCATGCCCCCCTGAACCTGACCAAAAGCCATGGCTGTTGCTCTCCCCTTTGTATGATGCAAATGCTAAAGTACAGGTGTACAAAACCAACCACGACAACCAAGAAAAGATCTCTGTCTGTCCTCTTCTGTCCGTACATGTGACATGACTCTAAAGCTTTATACCCACTCACCAATAGGGGAGCAACCCACACAACTCAAGGGGCCCCAGAAAATCTTCAATTTTATCTTCAGTCCTGGTCCCAACACTGTGAAAACTACCCCGAAGATCTACTGAAGCCACTGTCCGGGATGCTCCGCCCTCCTGCCTTCCAGAACCCCCTCGGACCACCCCTCCCAGCTCCCTCAGTGGGCTGTACTCTGAGACACAGCTGAGTTCCATGGGGAGGGCAGAAGTATGTTAGTCATTAATTCCACATTGCTGGGACTGGAGACACACAAAGGACACCACTCGACTTTCTTCCTGGACATAGCCACTTCCAGCTCTGGTGAGGAGTTAGGACCAAGCCAGAACTCTCCTCCACCCCTGCTTCCCCCAATTGCCTTGCCTTAAGTTAGGCCTCCCTTCTCTCCTCCCTTTCTTGACAAGACACCCTCACTCCCCACACACTGTCTCCTGCCCTCTACCTCTTCCCTTCCCCCACACCTTCACCCAGAAGACTCATCTAAAATGTAAGCTTAACCAAGTCACTCCCCCACCCAACACCCTTCAGTGGTTTCCCAGGGTGTGCAGAAAGACATAAAAATGGCCAAACAGGTCCTTCATGATATGACCCCAACCTGCAAACTAGGTCAGACCCACACCCAACTCTATGCCCCAAGTATACCAAGCACCCCCACCCCACTCCCAGAACATACTGATTTGTGTTTGCATCTTCAGTCCCCTGACCCCCCTAGTCCATTCTGACTCCTCTAATTTCTCAAGACCCAGTCACCTCCTCTGAGAAGTTCATCCTGATACAGCCTGCTTCCCCCAGGACAGCACAAGGTTTGTTACTGTGCTTTCAAGATAAAGACTATCTAGTCTGAATGCTCCGGCCGATTCTACCACCCCGCAGAGCGACCCTTGGAGCATCCCTCACTAGAAGGATGGGGTCATAGCCATCTCTCTGATGTTGTAAAATTAAATGGGATCTTGCACTTACACTCTCACTGTGCCCAAGCAGCTAACAGTGGGTGGCACTTTGCAAATTTTATTGAAATTTGTGCTCTCTGTCTCTCTTAGCAGCTTGGGAGCTCTATGAGGACAGGGTTGACTGTGTTATGCAGTCCTCCTGAAACTCAGTCCCTGGCTTGGCCCACAGTGGGTGCTCAGAGACCCCAGTGCTGACTTGGAGTCCAGACAATCT